AATTCTTTCTAATTTGGCAATTATAAAATTAAAATTGGTAAATTGAAAATTAAAAAGGATATATTATTTTAGTAATTCTATATGTAGTTATACCATTAATCCTTCTTCCGAATTCACTTCAAATGTAGTTTCTCCTTTGGTTCTTAATACTGTTGAATGAAAACTATTCTGAAATCCCAAATGTTGAGATGTCCTGTTCTGACCAATATTTGGATAAGTAAATGTAAATACAATAACATTATATAATACTAAGCCTTAAGATTATATTTCTTGGTTCAATATATTATTGGACATGTTATAAATATATTGTTATATATTGTTGACCTCATTTTTGTTTGAGGTCACTTGGAACAATCCTGACCCCATATCAATTTAATTTCCAGACAAATCTTGACTCTAGGATCCTCCAAGAATCTAGATCCTAGAAATTACTCTATATCCTAGGATTCTTCCAGACAAATCTAGACTCTAGGATCCTCCTAGAATCCAGACCCTAGGATCTACTCTAGACCCTAGGATTCTTTTAGATAAATTCAGACCTTAGGATCCATCTAGGTCATAAGATTCTTCTAGACTCTAGACCCTAGGATCAATTCTGATCTTAAACCAATCTAAATCCAAGATCAATCTAAGATCATAATCAATTTACATTTCAAATCAATCTTGACCTCAAGCTTATGCAGACCCCAATTCAATTCAACCCTCAATAAAAAACTAGACTTCAGTGCAGTTCAAAATTTAAACTTCAGTTCAAACTATGATCCTCCATCTATCAAACTTCAATCATATCCTATCACTCATGATCATCCCAAATGATCATAAATCATATGGATAATTCAAATCCACTCATCCAAACTCAAAATCCAATTCAAATCCAGAAATCCAGACTCAAACCCAAGTCCAAAGGCCTTGTCCTAAAAGCCTTTTCCAAGGATTTTTCAAACACTTCAAAACCTAGTCAAAAGGCCTCTGATTCAGAGTCTATCACTTGCAAAGTGATAAGACATGTCTATAGAGGTAACCCTCCAAATTTGAGCCCATTCTGAGGTCTTTAAACCCAAAAACTAAATCAAAATCTAAAAGCTGTAAAACCTTCAAATATTTATAGTCTAAGGCACTGGACCCGTCACCTAGTGGATCCTGACCTTGGAGCTTTCTCCAAAGCCTCCAATCACTTCCAGACCCTTAATCCTGACTTGTTAATCATTAAACTGTATTTTGGTAGACCCACTTTTACCTCTAGTTGACCAGAAGCTAAAATGATCAAAATACCCCTTAGGGGATCAAATATTAATTTCAAACCAAATTACCTCCGAATTACTTAGAACCACTTCTAATAATTTTCAAATATCAAATCAAATTTGTTGAGCTTGGACCCACCATCTGCGTCAACTTGTTTAACCTAGTCAAACTAAGTTGACTCAATGAACCCTTAAGAGTTTAAATGGGTTAACCATACCCATTTAACCTTATCAAGCTTTCCAAACCCTCAAGCTCACTTTAAAGTATGATTCAAATATATTCAAAACTACTTGAAGTCAAATCACCTTGATTTGACTTGCTCAAACTTTAATCAATGGTCAAGCCTTAATTCACATGTGTTCATACATTTCAAATCCGAATCCTATTGCTTAGGACTTTTCAAAACCATTTCAATTGATGCCTTGAATACCCCTTAGCTCATTTGGAGTCAAGCCATGGTTCATTTAATAACGTCAATCCATTTTGACTTGGTCAAATCCTATCTTTCATATGTCCTTCTATCAAATTTGCTTCAAGAGATTTCAAACACATCCTATTCAATGCTTTGATCCTTCTTTGATTTAATATGGATTAAACTCAAGCTAAGTTGGCAAGTCAACATATTAAGACTTAGTCAAAATAGCTTAAATCCATTCCCATGCATTCAAACTCCAACTTGCAAGCATCAAATCTTTCCAAACTCAATTCATCATCTCAAGACATCTCTTCATGCCAACTCTACAGTCAACTTGATTGTTTGACTGGTCAAACAGTCAAATTGAGCTTACAAATGTGTCAAACCTAGTCAAATCATTCTCTAGAGCTAACCCACTCTATTTAAAACTTCTCTAGCAGTCCTAATCAGCTCCAAAGCCTTCCTCCATGCCACCTCAGCTGCCACATGGCATGGGAACTTGTCAAATTGTCAAACCAAGCTTATAGAGTGGTCAAAGATGGTCAAATGATCTCTTAAACTTAATCCACTCTATTTGAAAATCCTCTAGCTATCTTAATCAATTTATGGAACCTTCTCAAGGCTTTTATTAGCCCTTAGCACTTAGTGTCTAACAACTCATCTCAAGGTCTAATATTTTAATAAAATACTAATTTTCTAGAATTTAACTTAAATTAAAAAAGTTAAAATTTAACCCCTTAATTAAATGATTAAAATAATCCAACAAAATCTTAAAACTCAAAAGTCACTTTAAAACTCCAGAAACCTTTAATCAATCTTAAAAACAGTAATCTACCAACTTTAATTAAAATTCATTAACTTTCAAACCTTAATCAACTTAAATCATTTAACTATATTGGTTACCATTGGGTAACCCAGGCCTACGAGGCTATTAAATTAGCCCCAATGAAGGTGAAATAAACTTCACAACCTCGGTGAGCAACAAAGGTGGTAATAAAAAACCTTTAAAAGACACTTTAAAATTAACTTTAAGCCATTAATATTAAACTCAAACTTAAATATTCCTTTGAGCCTTCCAACCAATCAAACTTCAAGCAAATTTAACAAATTTCCCTTCATAGGACACATCCAAACCACACTATCTTTTTACACACATTTTAGATGGTTTGCTAGGAAAACCAAGGCTAGGCCGGTGCTTACTTTTTTGCAGTTATGTGCTGTGTTTTTTGTGGTTTTTAATGCATGTTGTTTGCTAGGTTAGAATTGATTGATTGCTTATTTATTTCCTGCACTCTGTGTTGTAATTGATTGAGTATTTAAATTTTAAATATCAACTACTTGAGATTAATTATAAATGCTTGGGATATTATAACTGTTGATTATTAGGATAACTCTGCAGGATCGAGTCTAAATTTTTCAATTTTGATTAATATAAATTTGATTTGATTTTGGTTGTAATGTTAAGTTCTTTGAGAATTGGGATTGTAAGCATCCAGTTTGGGATCCAAAGAGTAAGGAACATCCCTTAGGGGAGAGTTTCTTTCCATTTAGAGATCCAAATTAGGATGACTTTAAATATCCAAAGAGGAAAGATAACACCCTGTTCAAGGGGGAGTTTCTTTTCATTTGGATATCCTAACCCGATGATCCAAGGAGTTGCAGAAGGATGGAGAAGAGGATAACGAGAAGACCCATTCTCAAAGTCACTAGTGTCTTATGATTAGAAATTCGGGTTGTTATCAGTGGTGCCCGGACACTTTACTTTTCTGCAATTCTGGGATGTAATATTAAAAGGCACTTGCCTATGGACATTCAATTTGAGCATTTAATTTGATTGATTTATTTAATTGATTTTGCAGTAGAATTACTTATTTTTCTAGTCTTTTTTTCTTGCATGTCGATTTTGATTTAGCCTGGAATCCGATCGTAGGCTCATAAGGACTCATTCAAAAATTTTTCTACTTAAAAAAAATTAAAACATTAAGCTCACATAGCAACTCTAACAAATTTAAGAAATAAGCCCGGGACTGCTGGGAGTTCGCATGCATATTCATTGCATTTTTCTTTCCTTTGCTAGGCACCTCCTCGCCTGCGGGTTCTAGCAGACCACCTGGCCTATAAGGGTGCAGATCTGTTAAGGAGATGTTGTGCAATCTCTAGGAAAAACCTATTCTCTAAGCCAAATTTTTAAACTGCTTAATTTTGATTTATGCATTCAATCGAGTCGATTAGCATGCATCGAATTAGTAACGAACTTAAAAGAGTCTAATATTTAATTGCATTTGCTTAGACATCAAATACCCAACATATGTTAAAGGGTCACTTAGGATCTGCTCTAGATGTTGACCCCAATTCATTAAAAATATCTTAAATAACATCCCTACCCATTCTTACATTAATTGACTGGATACATGGTTTTAAAGCGCCTAGGTGGTTTAGCTGGCTCCCCAATCCAGGCTAGGGTAAGTCCAGATTTGCACTGCATTAGTTAGGTTTGGGTCCCTGATTTTTGGTACCCAATTTAGACTTAGGTTATGAGGAAAGATCAGGCTATAAGACCTCAACCTCCGAGAATTGAATCCCAACTTTCTAATAAAATTGGCCATTAAACTAAAAATCACTTTCAATCAAATTCAAGCCCAAAACTTAGGATAGTCTAAGGTGTTTTTGAAGTGATTAGGAATCTCAAAACACCTCCTACCCTCTCTCCTTTGACTCTAAACATAAGTGCTCAACCTTGAACCAATCCCACTTGAAATTCCCACCCTTATCTCCTTTGTCATAGACCTTTGAAAATCTTAAATAAAATTCATATCGCCATTTCAATTGAGAGTATCGGTAGGAAACTCTGATTTCCTATGATGTAATTAACTACGAGGGTCTCGTAGGAGATTTAGAAACCCAGATCTAGATTTAAAAATCAAAATTTTCAAAACACTTAATTAATTCTCTTTGGGAAATATTAAACCAAAGTTCATTATTATCACTCTCAAATGATCAATAGTGATTGATATCTTCTTTCTTAGGAGAGATATATCAACTACTATAGTGATTTTTATTATGAAAATAATGATCTCCTTTTCGAATTATTATAGTCAAGCATTTGATTAAATATCATTTTGATCTTCAAGGATCATATGTTGTCTCCCCTTGAGTTTGACTACGACAATCCGGATAAATTTAAAGTTTCTGAAATTTGAACCCATTAGGGAACGATATGTTCGCCTTCTTAGGTGATATATCATTCATAATGACGTGTTCGATTTCAAAATTCTAAAAATTAAACTTTCCCAAATAAAATTAATATTTTTCAAAACTATATATTTTTAAATCAAACATATATATATATAAAGTAAATAAAAGCTTTTCATGGTGAGAAAACTTTGTGATAGCTATCTTCCTCACAGCATAATTCATCAAGGTTCTAAATAATTCCACCATAGAGTGGAAGTGTTTAAGCATACTACATGTGGAAATCCATTAACAAAGCTTGCATGGCCTAGCTTATATATTTTAATCGTACTTTAAAGTAGCTTGTATGTGTGGCATTAACCATTGCAAGGGATTTTATTAATTTAATTTTTTGCTTGTATTTAATATTTAATATTTAATTTGCTTTTCTCAAAATGTAGCAGATAGAATTTGCGTGTATGTAATTTTCACTTCAATTAATTGAAATAAAGACGATATCTAGTTCCATTTATTTTTAAACTAGCTTGGAGAGAGAGAGATATATATATATATATAGTTAGCTTGACTCCCCATTTTGAACAACCCCACCCCTCCGTTTGATTAACCAAGAGAAGCATTAAAGGCATTCCAATCCAATCAGACACTTAATTTGCTAAACTATCACTGAGCATATACTATTCTTTTCATAATCAAACTAAATATGTACATATGTAGGCAGTTGAATAGCCCTCCAAGATCTTGTTATGTTCCTTTGAACCTTATGTAATTGAAAAGATACCAAGTCTTCATTAATAAAGTTAGTTAGCCCATGTAAATCCAGTAGGAACAAGCTTTGAATATGAGAGCCAAATTTACATGCCTGCTATAAAAAAGGATAAGGAATAATAACACTACGACCAAGTATAAGAATATTCTTATATTTATCTAAGAACTAATACAGCTTAGATTTCAAATTTATTTGTCTTGGGTCATAATTTATCAAATAACATAATGACAAGTCCAAATAAACAAATCAAAATTTCATGTTATTTTGTTTAATTTTCAAGTGCATAAAAGAAGAGAATTAGCTTTTCAAACTTTATAAGCATGCATACAAACTAGCACTCAAGTTCCAATGAGTTTGGGGAAGAAAACAATGTATGAAATTTTTTCTTCAAGAAAAGTAACTTGTCAATTAATACAATATGTAATTGAAAAAATATATACTTAGAGATTACATACAAACAACAAATAAAGTTAAGATAAATAATTGTAGAGATCAGACAATGCTATATTTATAGCCATACTAATAATAGAGCCCACATTCGCACTAAATCATCAAGGATTATTATTCATTTTATCCTAAAAAATCTAGAACATTCACTTTATACAATAGGTTTGTATAAAAGAAGTAAAGAAATCAGCAATGTTGGTTGACTTCATAGTCCATAAGAAGGCTTTCACACCAATTCAAGTCATCCGAGTTGCTCCACACAAGTGAGTTTGAAGGCAGCAGTGAAGTCAGCAGAGCATCAGCAGTAAGCAGAGGAGAAAAAGATTGGAAAAACAAAGAAGGTTATTCAGGAGTAAGAGATGGGGAAACATGTTTAGGTTGTTCGCGAGGAGGAAGAGATTGTGCAAATGGAGTAGGCTACTGAAGATGGAGAAGATCTTGTTGTAATGGAATACTGAAATCAACAGAAAGCTGAGGAGAAATATAGTGGAAAAATGGAGAAGGTAGTTGATGCGGGTGAAGATACTGCGGCTGTTGCGAAGGCATGAAAATCGCTTGTTGCGCCTGAAGCCATCCCAGTTCCTCTGTACTTTGGCATTGGAGGAAATCTATCCTCTCCTGCAACTCTATTAATTTGATTTTGATGGCTACTTTCTCTTCAAGGAATGTCAGCAAAGGAAAGGAAGGAGAAGGCATCGATTGGCATGGAATTTGTTGTTCGGTAAATTTTTCCATTTTTTCATATTGACCGCTCTCCTTCAAGTAACGTTCTCTAATCTGGCAGAATTTTGGTGTATTATTTTCCGGCCAAAATTCAAGGGCGTTGAGTTCTGAAGAAAAGGAAGCAACTAGTACGTCCACGCTGCAGAGGAGCGAGAGCTTGCCGACCTTCTGCTGCATTTTGCTAGATTGTGTAATCGTGCTCTTTTGTTGGTAGGATATTTGGGTAATCTATTTGCTTCTTTTTGGGTTTTCTGCTGCCTCATTTTGTTTGGGTGTGCGTTGTGACTGGTGGTTGGTGAGTTGGGTGCCTATGTTTCGGCTTGGTCATTGGGTTGTTTGGTGTGGTTTGAGTGTTTGGGTGAGCAAATTTCTTTGTTCTTTTGGTTTCTGGTGTGTGTTAGGGTGGAGCCTTTGTTGTGCTGCCTCTCTTTGGGAGAATTATTGTTTCCCCTGTTGGGCTGGCTGGTTTGGTTTAGTAGGCTGGCTGTTTTGGTGAGTGGTTTGGTCCTCAACCATGTGTTATTCTTCTTTATTAGATCTCAAATTTGGTTTTGTTAAGAGTTTTCCTTTTGGGTTTTCGTTCCCTTTGTGTCTTTTCTATGTCGGGTTTTGGTTTGAGATCTCTCTATTTGCTGAGGGACAATGAATTTTCTGGATCTTATTCTGTTGCTATATATTGTGGAGCATGTTTGCAGCTATGGTTATCGGTGGCATCAATGAGATTTTTTGGCTACTCGTGTGTAGTAGTATTTTTTTTTTTTGGTCTTCTTTTTTCTATTTTGCATTTATCATCTTTTGGCATCTGGGTGCAAGGAATGTTGATTTAAGCTTGGGCTTCATTTTTTGTGTTTAGCTATTTCCATTTCTTTTTGGAATTTTCTTATAATTAGATAGGGATATTTAACTTGAGAGATTTCTATTATTTTGATTGTAGCTCTTTGGGTTGTCTGGTTTGGTTGAGTGGGCTGGCTGTATTGATCATTATAAAAGTTTGTATGGAATCTCATAATAGTCGTAGTTTCTAGTAACATCTTTTATGAGGTTGCATGCATAATGTATTACATTACACTTTCTAAACAAGCCAAACGAGGTTGTATGAGGTTGCATGCATATGTCATAATATTTATTTTTACAAATTCAAAAAATGATTGGAGAATAATGTCATCATATAATAAGTTTTATCATGTAGATGAATAAAATGACAATTTCCATGTATTACATTACACTTTCTAAACAAGCCAATCATTGTGTCCTTGCTATAACCAGCTAGCATATAAGGATTCTAAAACTCAAAAACCTATTTAACTCAAGGTCAATCCAAACGAGGCTTGTATAGAAAATAAAAAGCCAAAAGGAAAATAAATTATTTATGAAATTGGTAGCATGATATAAATTTTTATTTTATAACATATGGCAAAATTAGTAACATATTCATAACTTTTTCACAACTTTGTATATGAACTATAGATATATTGATTGAATGCCATTAATTTACAACATATGATGCTTAAATGAGTTTTTTCTTATCAAATTCCAAGGAGGACAATTTATCATAAATGGTGATGGCTAACTTTGGCAATTGTATATGTATAGATTTGTGCAATATATATATATATATATATATGTCATAGTTTTCTTGGTAATGTACACAATTGATAGAACTTGATGTTTATTTTTTATGTAAATTTATAATTATCTTATGATTCCCTTGATAGTTTGTGAGTTTTCTATAAAAGTTTGAAGAGTTTTATTAGGCATTTAGATTATGATTTCATAGGAGTTGATTTATGAAATTGTACTGTTTATGATTCTAATGAATTTTGGATTCTTGTATTATTACTTTTATTTTAGATATCTTCTGATCTAATACCTTTTTGTCTTTAGCTAATAGTTGATAGTGGAATCAACTCATTATTATGAAGTCTAGCTATTTTTTTGATCTTGTTGCATTTGAATATGATCAATTTTTATAGTTAAGATAAAAAGCTGTAGTCATTCTGATAATGATTTGCCCCTTACAAAAGAGGAACTAATGAGAGGATGGGCTTATATGTTATAACATGCATTGACAAATGGATCTTATCTACATATTTATTTGATATAGAAAATTAATAGTGATAGATTTCTTAAAAAAAAAAAGAAAAAGAAAAAAAGTGATAGATTTCTTATATATTGAAGTGATCAATTCTTATGTAATAATCTTTTGTTATAGAGTAATGTGTAATTTGGAGAAAATGATTAGTTTATTGAGATACTTTAATTTCTTAATTTTTCCTTATCATTATTACTTGCCAATTGTGGAACTATGAAACAGTCTTTCGACTCTTTATTCTGTTAATAGTGTAAGCACATACGTATACTGTAATAAAATGAAGAAATCTTATTATCATTTCTTTTATATAAGGCCTCTATCAAGTGTAAATTTTCATTACATTGTGTCTCATATAGTGGGCTCGTTTCTCTTGTCAAAAATTTTCAAGGCTATCTTGGATGTTTCCTTCCAAGATTGATGCAAGTAAAATGCCAATTCCCTGAATTATAGTATTTGAGAATTTAATTAGCCATGGCCCTCTTCCCTCTGTTCCATAATGCATTATATTATGTCAATCCTTTTGATTGTTAGAATTTGGACTTAGCTATTCTTTTTAGTGCTAATTCACTACTTTTATAAGTTTTCAACTTGTCCAGCTAACTACAAGTACATAATCTGTCTATTCTCTACAATACGTTCTTTTGTCACTTGCTTAAGGTAAAAGCTCATTTCCTTATTAATGAGCTTTCGATTTAAAATAGTAAGAAGTTTTTTTTTTATCCACTATGCAACGAAGTCGATTTTTGTGAATTTCCCTTAGTGTCATAACAAATTCTATTTACAATTAGCCTTTTCTTACCTAAATAGGCACTTTTATTTTATGTGAAATTTCCCTTCACATGATTGTGTTGGGAAAGTAACCCACACTGCATCTACAAATATGAAAGAGAAAATGCAATGGAAAAGAAAGCCAGGATATAATTTGAAAATTTTTTAAATTTGAAATTCGTAAAAAAAAATTTAGAGGCACTCAACACCTAGAAATTCACTATGAAAATTAGGAGAATGTATACATATCTTTATTTCTCGCTCTCTCCTTGTCTCTCTTTATTATTTACACCGTTCTCTAAACATAATATATAAAGAGAAAAATAAAACTAATAAAGGGGAACAATATTTTAAGTTAAACAAGAGAAACGAGAAATAAAAATGTCTAGCCTTCTTGCAACATTGCGGTGCCAGGTTTAGAGGGCCACGAGACTCCACTCTATGTCTCTAGTCTAACTAACAGAGCAATAATGTTGAAATCTAGAGCATTTTGATACTCCTCTCTCTGTCTATCTCCAACCCGATTATACAGTGTCACAATGTGTTGGGAAAGGAAAAATATTGGGTACAAAACACAAGAACTCAGGCACATAGAGAGCCCGTGCAACCCCCCAACGAGCTCAACCAACATAATTGAGATCCCATACAATAAAAAAAATTTAATTTATCGACACAATCAAATTCTAACCAAAGCTAACAATTTGTTCTATTTGTAAGTTTTTTTTTTTTTAAATTTTGTAAAGTAAATTACCCATTTTGTAAAAATATAATTACTCGATGTAAAATCCTCTAATTAACTGATAATTAACTTATGCCCAAAAATAAATTCTCACTCAAAAGGCTATCAAAATTTTGTGTGCTCTTTTTTTCCTTTAAAAAATAACAAGTTATGTTATGGGAAAGCTGCAAGCATATTCTAACTTTTCAACACTCATCATTAGATGTTATGTTTATGCTTGATCAAATATGGAGCTAATTCCAACGGCCGACACCTTTCAACAAATTTGGACTGATAGGAATGCAAATAATTAATTACTTAAACTTAAGAAAAAATCAGCAAGTTGTTAATATAAGTACAAGCCCAAGCAATAGACATTTGTTTCTGTCTTTATAGGCCAAAGCCCTTATTTGATCTCTTCTTACACCTCATAATCTTCCCTTAAAATAATGACTTATCTTCTAAACTAAATTCCTAATAACCCCATCATTCACAATAATTAACTGCCTATAAAACCTCACCTCCTTTTGGCTTTCTCCTTCAAGTTATCCTAAGCAAAGCTTCAAAGTTCTATTCTCATGGCGACTTCTTCTTTACTCTCCTGTTATATTTTTCTCAATCTTCTTTTTTGCTTCTAATAGAGAAGAATTTTCTAGTATCAGTGCAAGAGCTTATTGGAGAACACCATGTCATTAACGTCAAATCACTGTTGTTGAGCAACTCTTGCTCTGTGCCTGATAAAAGTTTGCGAGCAATTTCAATAATTTCTAAATACCATATTAGAGATTATTTTTTTTCATAAATTAATTAGAATATTAAGAAATCATGTAGCAATTTAACTCATTTGATAGATATCACAAGATTAAGCTTATTTGATAGATATCAAAAGCTTAATCATGATGCCAAAAAAAAAAAACTCAATATGTACATTAATTAGTTATTCCAATTGTGATAGGCACGACCCCTTCCAAGCTCAACGTGGTACACCGGCACAGCTAGGGCTCATCTCGGGCACGCCAAGACAACCCATCCCATGTGGAGCTATTCTGTCGGGACCAAGCCCGCGTGGACTACATCCACCACCGGGCCGCTAACGCCACCACCAACCTCAACCCTGTTGGCGGATCTCTTTTGGCAAGAGTTCCAACAAACATCGGCCTTGCTCTTGATACCAACAACTATATCGTCAACATAGGCCTAGGCACCGCTACCAAGTAATTCTCAGCTATATTTGACACAATTACCAATCTCACTTGTACCCAACGTGTCTCCTGGTTTAATTGTCATACCCAAAATGACCCATTTTATGACCCAACCCAATCATCCACCTTCATTGATATCTCATGCTACTCCAACTATTGTACCCAACTCAATCAAACCGACCGATTTGGTTGCTCCTCTACCTCCACCTGTCTCTACGAGATAAAATATGATGACAATTCTTATACTAAAGGCTCTCTCATTCTAGACACCTTGACATTCTACTCAGGTACTATGTACAACTTCCACTATGGCTGTGGACACAACAACAACAAGGATTTCAGACAAGAAGATGGATTATTAGGCCTTGGCCGGGGGCTGTTTAAATTATTTCCCAGATAGATCAATTGTATTACAGGGTATTCTCATATTGTCTACCATCAGATTCCAACTCAGTTGGATATCTCAAACTAGGTAGCTTTGTCTCTGATGTGAAGTATACACTGATGCTTACAAACCCAAACTTGCCATCCTTCTACTTTGTCAATCTCATTGCCTTTTCTATTACGGGTGCAAGGCTAGCCCTTTCACCTACTATAATAAGCAGGCTCTGAAACCATTTTGGACACTGACATAGTGATTAGTCGCCTACCGTCCACTGCCTACTCCCCCCTCTACAACATTTTTCAACAAAAAATGATTGCAATGCACATTCAATGTAGTCTATGATGTGGGGAACTTAAGAATTGGATTTGGGACTAATGGTTGTAGCTAGTGATGGATCGATCAAGTTGAATTGGGTTAAATGCAATGTATTGATATAGTAGGAATGAATAGTTTTTGTCATGTTGATTATAAAATCGGAGTGTGTGGGACAATGAATGTAGTCATGAAAAAAAAAAAGTTCAATTGTATCCAAATTTTATGAAATAATTAAATATCAAATGAAGGCAAC